AGCAGCCATTTCTCCAGTCTTCAGTGTCACATGATCCTTCTGAAATCATTTTAATATGCTGATGTGGTGCTCAAGGAACATGTCTTATTATAATCAATGTTAAAACAAAGTTGTACTGCTTAATATCTTTTTGTTGAAACCATGATGCATTTCAGGATTCAGGATTCTTTTATAGAAAGTTTAAAAGAACTGCGTTTATTTGAAATTTGCAACATTGTAACATGTTTTTACTGTAACACTAAAATAACACTAATTTTTTTTTTTTGCAATTTCCTTTCTGTTCTGTACAGACTGTACAGAATAGACTGCAGAGACAAAAACACAAACTACGAAACCAGGCCGGATTGAAATTTTAGTCACCTACATATGCACACATACGCTACCCACAGTCTCTGATGTGTCCTAATTTTAATTTTACTTTCATTTGTGTAGGACTACTTTTTTAGTTTGTTGTATAAACTAAGCTACCAAATTGACCAAAAATCACAAGGATAAAACTTTTGTTTTACTGACCAGGCACTGCCAATTACAGTCTGTGCTTTGCAAATCATATCTCAAATTAGACTCTGAAAAATTTGTTCCAATTTTTCTATTCCTACTTTTACAAATGGATCAGTGTCTGGCTGTGTGGTATTCAGACCGTGTCACCGTTTGTATCAGTTTTCCAACCTGAATTATTCATAAATTATTAAACACTGAGAATGAGCCTGAACATACAGTTTGAGAATTTTAAATAGATCGCGAATTTGAATGTTGTTTCACAAAACATAAAGTAGCTGTCAGGTATTTCATGCATATATGTAAAATAATGAATAAAACACGTCATGCAAGACATGTCAAGGCATACTCTGTCAGTATGTCTGAGATGAGATGTATTTCTTCGTGTATTTAGTTTCTCCTACCATACTCTGAAGGTGATACTGGTGTTGGTATTCATCCCTCTCTTCCATGCTGTCTTGGGCCAAGGGCTGCATGAAGAGGTCTTGAGGTGATATGGGACTCAGTGCTACAAACCCACCTCTACTCCTGAGGAAACAACAGAGAAACTTGTCAAATATGCTCATGTTGGCTTGCACCACAAATTCATCTACAAATAGGGTACATTTTGTACACCACAAACTGTGGGTCACATCTAAACATTGTTTTTGGTGATCAGAAATAAGATATTTAGTACAATTCATTTCAAAAGTTTGTGACGCTGTTGGATATCATCAAAAAGATCAAGACCTCAAGCTGACCCAAGCTGGGACAGGCCAAAATCACCATTTTAAGAAGGGGGATATAAACATTTAATGCATATATAAAAATATATTTTTTCATTATATATAACCTATAGGTAAATTGTATATTTTGTAAAAGTTTATATAAAACTTTAATCTTCATCACAAAAATTGTGATAAAGAATTGTGCCTCTATGCTTTAAAGTATTGCACCAGTATTGTGTATATCCAGAAGAAACGAAATAACTAATGGGGAGAGGTCCAGATCAGGGTTATTATTTACCCTAACCCTATAAACTAAAACATTTTCTTTTTTTCCTTTTTATTGGAAACATTCCCAAACGCATTAACTATATCATGAAATATCTCGATTTGTTATTATTATTATTTTTGTTAAATAAACAAAACCACTGGTAAATAAAACGCACCTTAGTATCGATATTTTTTGTTTGAGTATCGATACTTTCGATACTCGCGTCAGTATCGATATATCGATACTTTGGATCGATACGCCCATCCCTACGCGCCAGCTAGCGAACGCAGATTTGAATTTTAGCAGCTGATGATATGACGCGCTGAACGATTTAACCATGCTGGTGTTATTGTATCAAATATAGAAAATATTATTCGGCTATTTTTTGTCTTTTGGAAGCTGCATTCAAAATCCACTTGGCTCAAAAATCTGAGGGGGCACGTGCCCCCTCACTTTGAATGGGCATGACACCTCTGAATGAAATATATTTAAGCTAGTTGCCAAAGCAACATTTCTCATTTTCATTTAGTATAAGTTAAAGTACTAGAACAACTAAAACTAAATAAACTAAAACAGTAAAAACTATATAGACATAATAAAAAAATAAACTAATTAAAATGGCAAAAACACAATAAAATTACTTAAACTATAACTAAAATTAAAATGAAAAGAGAAAATATAAAAATAAAAACATTAAAAATATTAACAAAAACTGTATTAGTATATCAATGATACTAAAATAACACTGGTGCAGACAGATACAGGGTGAATGTACTGTAAGTACACACACACACACAACAGGTACAATTACAGGGCAGATCCTGCATTGTGTGACAGGAATTGCAGAGCTTTGGCACTGCAGAGAATTTCCTGTGGCAGTGAAGATGCATCCATACGCTGGAACATCGGTGCATGTTTCTGCAAGACAACATTAGATGGTCAGCACAATCTCTCCAGTGACACAGTACATCTTTCCAGCTTTAGGACGTTTACACTTCAAATTGAGATATGAAGGTTTTTCTGTTATGTGTCTTCAGTAAAATTAACAGTATTCTATACAGTTAGAAAAACAGCATTCCATACTGTTAGATGGCAATTTTGCATATATAAGCTGATTCAATAGGCGTGAGGTTGTGAGTTAACTAGTCTTTAGCTCTGAAGTTCTAGTGCTTTAGAAGGTAAAAGATATCTTTACCTGTTCCTCAAGCTGTTGACGGAGCTTCTTAGCTTTGTTCTGCTTGTAGTAGTCCATGATCATCATGGCTGCATAAATCTTCCCAATGGTCATGTCACTGGCTGGAAGAAAGATTTGTTTGTTGTAGAAAACTAAGATTTCTATGCCGGCTGCAAATCACACTCACTTTCAGGGGAGTCAGTGGGCACCCCTAGTGGCCAACAATGGTACCACAAGCTAAACTGTCAAGACCAAGGTGAATTGACCTCGAAAAATTAAAATAACACACTATTAAAACTTTAAGAAAATAATAATAAAAAAAATTATCATTCAGATCTCTCACCTTTGTGGATGGGTACAAACAGATCAAGAGATTTCTGGGAGAGGTGTGGCCAGATGACACTGATTTCCTTCTGCAATTCTATGTCCATCTGACCCCTGTCCTCACCCCCTGTTACACAAAGACCATTTAACTAATATTATTGTGAAAAAAAAGACAAACCAGAGGAAGTTTGATTTTTAAATCATTGAAAATGATCAATGGTGCCAACCTCGAGCGATTTTAATGTCCAGCGCAGTGCGTATCAGGGCCATAAGAGTGGAGGTGAAGTGGACGGACATGTCCTCATCCACTGGCATGTTCATCAGAACCAACCGCTGAGAGAAAGTCACCATAAGGACAGAAGACAATTGAAATACAAGGATTGCAAAGCTAAGGAGAGAGCATGTTTTTAAAATAGTAATCTAATAGTCATCTAGGTTTAGTTGTCTTTTAACTTCTACAGTTAACACCAAGAAGATGTCACAACATCACTCATTCATGCACATAGTTGAAACACATATACTGGATAGAGACAGAGTAGAGATTTATGCATAGAAATTGGAAAAGGATCACACTTTATGAATATGCCCTTTGCAATATGTCTTTAACACTGGAATAAATGTCAGGGTAATGACAGTGTTTTGAAGATGTTAAGGTGACATATTCAAATAAAGTATCATTGGTGGATGTACAGGGACTTTACAGTAGGATGATTAAGAGACAATGACAAAGAATAACATCACTGATCGTCTACAAATAATAATATAGATCAGGGCTCCAGACAAAAAAATCGAGTAAGGAGCCATTGGCTCCTAGTTGAAAAAAAAGCGCCAAATTATTTTTTTTAGGTGCCACAGAATAAACGTTTTTTTTTTTATTTATTATTATTATAATTTATTTAATTTTTTTTACATTTTAACATTTCAATCATACTGTCATGTGTTTATGTCTCATTTTTTCTTGACTTTATCAGCATTTTAATCCATCTTGTAGATGACCTGGGAACTAAGGTTCACTTAAAGTTGGAACTAAATGTCTTTTCCAAGTTGAAATATACAGTCACAAAGAATTGTACATTACACAGAATCTGTACCAATATCGTGGACCATAAGCATCACTTGGCCACTGAGTGTAGTTTGGGCTCCTCCTCAATGCATCCTATAAATGTTGTCATACACTCTTAAAAATAAAGTTGCTTCACGATGCCACAGAAGAACCTTTTTTGTCTAAATGGTTTCATAAAGAACCTTTAACATCTGAAGAACCTTTACGTGTCACAAAAGGTTCTTTATGGTGAAAGAAGGTTCTTCAGATTATAAAAAGTTGAGAAAGAGATGGTTCTTTAAAGAACCTTTGACTGAATGGTTGTGGAACCAAAAATGGTTCTGTGAAGGACCTTTTAAGCACCTTTATTTTTAAGAGTGTATGTCTTTCACACTTTCAGTCTGTTTTTCTTAATTAGTAAAATGCAATTTTATAAGAGGAGTTGAATCATGTAGACAACAGGTTAAGTAAAAATATTAATATGCAATAGCGCATAGATATAGCAAAATGCTCCTCTTTATAGTTATTTTTCTAGCTGACTAATGAGCTTATGGACACCGAATGGTAAATTCTGAGGTAAATGTATATAACGTTGCAATGTTTACAAGCTTTACACGTTTTCCGCAGTTTGAAACACTGAATGAGCTTTTACATGAGACATTTCAGTAAGTTGTACTGTAGGCTCTCTTATTAAATAGCCTACCTTTTGATGTTAATTCATGTTTATTATGTAGCTACTATAGTAGTAAAGAGAAAGATTAAATGGGTTCACTTGCCGCTTGAACTGAGCCACTAAAGCAATCGCGCCTGCCACATTAAAGAGCGCCAAAACTGTATTTATTGTTTGAATTTCGTTATGAATTTGGAATAATTTTAAAGCTGATACTTTGTTTTTTAAAAAAGTAACAAAGCACAAGCTTTTTGCAATTACTGGACGGCAAGTGCACTTCAAATAATAAGTTCACGCATTAACAGAACTCAGCATAGACTAAGATCTTGATAAGAAGAAGCCATATAAGTAATGATTATAAACTAGAATTGTTAACGATATTGCCAATATCCACACAACTGACAGCTTTACCTGTTGTAGTTTGTTCAAGTTGTGCACGAAATAGACGCTGCTTTTCTGCACTTTCACTCA